CCTTAGGTAAGTTATTCGCACGCATCGTTTGCAATCGTTTGTGGCAGCATATCGATACCAAAGAATGTATGTCAGACACTCAATTCGGGTTTCGAAAGGGTAGGTCAACTGTCGATGCTATACGCAGCGTTACCGACATTGCTGAAGAAGGTATTAAGGGTAAGCGTTGGAAAAATGGGTCCAAGGAATATTGTGCTGTAGTCACCCTAGATGTAAAATATGCTTTTAACTCGTTGAGCTGGTCGGACATTATAAATGCGGTAAAAATTATTCATACACCACAGTATTTAATTAATATAATTAACAGTTATCTACCTAATAGACTTTTGTCCTATAACACGGAAAGAGGCAAAGTAAGCTATAGAGTCTCCAGAGGAGTTCCCCAAGGTTCCGTCTTTGGCCCACTTTTGTGGATCATAGCCTACGATGGCGTATTGCGTCTACCCATTCCAAAAGGAGTTAAAATAATTGGCTATGCCGATGACATCGCTTTGGTGGTTGTGGCTAAAGACATAAATAGGGTGCAAATGTCCACAACAAATGCTTCCAAAATAGTCATCGACTGGCTTACAGCGAGGGAGCTGAACTTAGCAATCGAGAAAACAGAAGGTGTACTCATAACAAGGAGGAAGAAAAAAGAGACCGCGACCTTGAATATAAACGGGTATGTCTTTGATACATTACCAGCAGTGAGGTATCTAGGCGTAATGATTGATGCAAGGTTATCTTACAAAGTTCACATTGAAATGGTAAGTACAAAAGCGCCAAAAGTTCAAAGCGCGTTAGATAGACTGATGGCAAATGTAGGCGGTCCAGGTCAAAACCGCAGAAAACTGCTAACAAAAGTTACTGAATCAGTTATAATGTACGCGGCCCCCGTCTGGGGTCATGCACTGCAGCAAAAGTCCTATGATATGCTTGTAAACTTTGTTTTCCGTCTTAGTGCCCTGCGCGTTTGCAGCGCTTTCCGGACAGTTTCGCATGATGCAGCCTGCGTCATACCTGGTATTATGCCTGCCGATTTGTTGGCTAACGAAATCCGGCGTACCTATATGCCGGCCCGAACAAAAGGTAGAGCCCTCTCAAAACCCGAGATCGCGGCCGAACGCCAAATAAGCCTATCACTATGGCAGCAACGCTGGGCACATTAAACAATATAAGCAGAGAAATAATGACAAAGCTAAGGATCAGCGAGCAACGCCGCCGCTTAGAAAGAGGATATAGTTGAAGTTACTTGTGTTCAAAATTTCTTCTTTTATCTTATTTTTGCATTTCTTTGCAGGTAAACCCTGTGAACACCAAAACGCTCCTGAACCCCTAATCACATTATTGGATGGGGGATTATGGGAAGGGCGGTATGACGTGGGGCATGTATATGCCACGGCCTCACCCCGATGTAATACGCGAGTGGTTCCGGGGAGGTGGCTTTTGGAGAGTTTCGCACGGGCCACTTGATGGATAGTTTCCCTATCCCAACGTCCGTTAGAAAAAAAACAAAAAAAAACATATGTGCATAGACACATATATAAGTGTCCGCATATATTTTTTTCACGTCACTTGCTCTGTCGCTTCACTGCAGCAAAACCAAGTTGTGGGGAAAACCCTGACGAAATGCGTACAATTGAAACCATGGGTTTGAAGATTGCGCAGATTGATGTGAAAATTTTAACTTCATATTAAATATATTTATGTATGCATGTATGCGCATATGTATGTAAAAATATAGTTTCGATTTAAAAAAATCGGATAAAGTTTTTATTTCGCCAATGAGTTATGCAGACAACTATAATCGTAAAATCCGATTTGTGAGTCCAGATATATATATACCCAATAAACATTTCGGCGAATGTTCGAAAATGACCTTCGATATACAATATGAATATCGAACTGAGAACCAACTCATAGCCAACCTTATTTTTCCAACGTTTATAGTATATTGGAAACACACTCGGGATGGGCTCCAAAAAAATGGAAACCATAGTAACAAGAGAGAAAATATTTCTGAATTTCGAATTCATAACGAAAGAAAAATATATTGGATAAGGAAGGTTCCGTTTTGCTGGAGAATGGCCTAGTTCTCGAATCGAATACTAATTTATTTCACATTCGTTATCGAAGGTGAGACACGAAAAAATATTGGTTTTCGAATCATTTTCGAATTGTTAACCAAGCCGAACGTTTATTAGGTATTTACATACTTATGTATGTAGGTATATAATGCATCGCGACTGATTTTTTTAAACATAAATACGCCTCTAATTTCAGTATTTATTAAAAAACTCAATGAAATTCAAAAACTATATCACTTGCATTTGGTTTTACTCAATACCGATTTGAGCTGTCGCACAGTGTTATCAAAAAAAAAGTTTTCAATGAAAATTCGTTATATGGCGGTGTATGTATGTACATATGTACATATGCCGAAATTTTTTTATTTGTAAAGGCTCTCAAAAAAATCAAAGATTCATATAAAATTACGCACAATAAATGGAAAATAAATTTGCTTTTATAAAAAATATCTTAAATCAGTATGCAGCTCTTAAGAAAAAATGCTCGTACATCTCGTCGCTACCATGTCAAACTATCGAATGTGAAAATCGGCACTTTTCAGGAGTGCAAAGAAACTTTTAAAAAATATTGTCATTAGACAAAAGTGTGGGATTCGACACTTTGTAAAGCCAGTATCCTCTGTTTCTAAGAAGGCTAGAAATTTGACGATTTGCCAACTTACGTATTATTCTAAACGTATGCGCAAGGTATCGTAAATGAAAAAGCAGTTTTACATAGTGATGGCACGATTAATCGAATAACCGATTATATTCGGTTATTTTCATTCGGTTAACGATTTAATTGTGTCGAAATTTTCATTTTGATTAATCGAGCGAGTAACCGATTAATTTTTCAAAATAATCGAAAAGAAACCATCAAAAAATTACTATTTTACTCACACAATAGTGTATGAATCAAAACAAGCTGGTATGTTTTTTACATTCTTGTATTCTGCAAATTTTTTAAACGATATTTTTGCCAAAAACCTCAACGCAAGCTTAACCTAAGTAGTACTAAAGAATCACAACCCAGGTATGCACATATTTTCATTTTATTTTCCGAATTCGGTGTTGCGCATTTTCTTCTTTTTTATATTGAAGAAAATAAGCAACACCATTACGAAACAGAAAAATACCAAAAATCAGTGGTAAGTGCCAGACGCCTCAGTCCTGGAATTTTTCATACAAAAATTTAATGGGCTACAAAACTGCATACTGGAATCTTTCCACGAAATCTAATTAAAAAGCTGGAATTTTTTGTTGATTTTTTTCAATATTGCACGTTATATATATTCATATTTATATAGCTATACTTAAAAACATATCTAAAATTAAAGAACAAAAAAAATCTTGTCGTGCGCTATAATTTTGACACGTGGTGTTAGTCAGTTTTTATAACTTATAAATGTTTTTTTATTAATTTTCGATTTTAGTCGAAGTGACCGATTAATCGGTTAATTTCTTACGATTAATTGCAATTATTAATCGAATGCTTTCGATTAATCAATTAACCGATTAATCGATTATTAAATCCTTTTTGCCATCACTAGTTTTGCATACTGAAAAATATATCTCGTGATATTTCTTGAGAACTACAATGAGTAGGTTCAGAAAGCGCAGAAGTTGAGCGCAACCGTTGCTAAAAAAAATCAGTTATCGTAACGTGTCTTCTGAACGGATTCATACATTAGCTGTCAAATTCACAACACACAAGATGTTGTCTCAAATGATCAGAAAAATATTACGATCATCTACACGCAACTGTTCAGTTGATCAGAAGTACAAAACAACGCGTTGAGAAGGTGCAATCGCAACAGTTACTGAGCTGTTGCGCCTTCTGAACGTGCCCAATGAAAATTCGTTTCTCTTGAAATCAGGATTGAAATTAGAATCGAGAAATAATACTTTCATAAAAATTTAAGTACATACATAGATTTAAAAAGCTGCTTAAAAAGAACAGTTTTATGAAAATGTCACATTAAACAACTGTCTAAATTTGCGTTATTTTTTATAAATAAGGCCGTAAACATTTCAAACATCGTCAATTTCCATATTCTATTTGTACTCTTTCAATTTCGCTGACCAGCGCCGCAAACGACATCAACTAGTACGCTAACAACCAGAAATGAAATTTAATACGCAAGTACTTACAGCACTACAAGTATACAGAGAGTAGATTTGCTACTCCCTTTTGGCAGCAGCAAACATCTCTCGTACGCGATGAGAGAAAGTAGAGTACGTACTTTAGTCATTGTACAGTTTCATAAGTAAAAACACTATCAGCTGATAGCCAAAAAATGCCAACAGCTGAGATCACCTGATTTCAAAACGCACGTTTTTGTAACATTGTTGCATTAAAAAGGTTAAAAAAAACCACAATAAATCTTATTGAAAAGTTTAAAAAATTTCGTGCAAATTTAGGAATCTATAACTAAAAACGCATTACTATAACTAAGAAAACATGAATTATTGTAAATTTTGTTAGTCATGGATATTATTTTGAAGTTTTTTTGTCGATTTTGCATTGTTTTTAATGTTACCATAAAATGCAACTTTGTGATTGTAGTTATGCATTTTATAAGTACCACAAAATACATCACTACATATAAATAAGGCCGCGGTTTGCTTACAATTGTTTTATACAATACACGCATTTGTGAAATTTATATTATCATACAATACCGTGCATTTGTGAAGATATTAAGAGCATATTGTCGAAAGGTAAGCTTGCTACATTCTTTAAATGGTTTATTAATGACTTTAGATATTTATAGACCGTTGATTTAGGAATTCTATAGTGGCTAGTATGTACATATTGAAGATATGCAGTGCTTCACGGATCCGCAAACATTTTAAATGCTATGTTCAGGTGTGATACATTAGCAAATTCCATATTTTATTCTAAGACGTCGAGTTAGAAATCGCCACAACTTTACCAACTATAATTTTCAGGTCGAAGGTACATTGCCGGACTGCAATCACTTCAACCAGAAGCCGTGTCACCTTCCCATCAAAGATGCGATATGCACTTATGCTTACGAGAAACGTTTGCCGTGTGGTCATGTGTGCCAGCTTAAGTGTCATGTTAACAAAGACCCGGAACATATCGAGGTACATATATGTATGTATATGAGTTTGGTTAAATTAAATGTGTCCTACTTATGTTTTTGAGCAAATTGTTAAAACTAGTGCGATAATTGAAGATGCACCCTGAATGTTTTATTTTAATTAATTTAATTATTGATTTCAAATTTGGTTTTCAGTACAAGTTCTACAGAGATTGCGATCGGATTTATGACAATTGTGTGGAAATCACACGTGTAAGAAACAATGCTTCGAAGAATGCGGACTGTGTCCAAAAATTGTCGAGAAAACCCGCTCTTGCGGACATCATTCCAAGCCATTTGTGTGCTCGAAGAATGTAGAGGAAATTGAGTGCGACAGACCTTGCAAGCGCAAGTTAAGCTGTGGTCACAAGTGCCCGTCGAAATGGTGCGAACCATGCGGAAGCTGTTCATTCTCGGTAATCTATTGCTTTGCATATAAATTGTATACGTTACGTACGATCATTATATTTACCAATACTTTGCAGAAAAAAAATATGAGTTCCTGCAACCATATGGTGGAAGTGAAAAGATGGCATTTCAGGGGTACTATTATATATATATATATATAAAATTTGAAAGTTAGGGGGGGGGCTCGAGCACCCCCCTGCCCCTACCTGTGGCTACGCCCATGGTTCAGCATCAAAGAAATTGATAAGCATCAACAGGTTCACCAACAAATTAGAAACCGAAGTCAAAAAGGACATAAACGGCTTGCAGCATTTCGAAAAAATTAAAGTCGAACGCGAAATGATTCACAAGGCAATGGGCTACAAGCAAGGTCACTGGTACAAATGCCCTATGATAACTGAGTGTGGCGGTGCAATGGAAGTAAGCAAATGCAATGAATGTGGAACCCAAATAGGTCAGCACCGATTGTTGAGCAGTAACACCCTGGCGACTGAAATGGATGGAGCTACGAGACCCGCCGGACCACAGGATCCTAACGACTATCAATACATGTAACTTGAAGATTTTTGGAACATAAAAAATAGTTCGTATTTAAAAAAATGTTATCGCTTGATTATGAATATTAATTATCAATATTATAATTTTTGCTGTTTATAAAATAAAATCGTGCCTTTTGACTATTGTTAACTGGACAACACTATAATTTATTTAGAAGAGATAACTAAACAATCCGTGTATATTGCAAAGCTTCAAAATGTATTTCATTTATCCAGTATCATCTTTTCTGCGGCATATTTGTCGGGGGACAACGCCAACGTGCCGCCCCTGGAGGTGCATCAGCTGATGTACTTCTGTCGCAGGAGACGTCTTCCTGCAATCATTGGATGTGATGCGAACGCCCATAATGTTGATCACCGACACAAAGAGGGGGTGCGTCCCTTTCAGAATATACAAGCTGACCCGGCAAACTTCGTTTTGCCCAATTAGATTTTTGATTGAATTATTTTCGAAGGTGAGGTACCGATATGTTGTGTACATATAAATCTGTTGGAAGGTGAAATATTTTATTAATTTCTTTTTACATAAAGCCTCACAGTAAATTTAAATATGGGAATTTATAATTGCTTTTCCACACCACCGCTGAGGTTGCAATAAAGGCGCGTTACCGATTTTTTTGGGTGTTCGGTTCCCCTTGAGGCCTATTTTCACCCATATAAAGCAAATATTCTAAATATGTACACATGCACATTAATAGATAAGAATAACAGTGTCTAAACAGTACTACTTGTACTTGTAGAAAATTAAAATATGAGATGCCATTGAAAATTCAGTTACAATGGGTAAGAACATAAACGTAAAATATATCAATAAACATACATATATGCACAACTTTGAAGTAGTTACGGAATTTAAATTATAATACATATACATAACTCCCCCACGGTGACAGATTCTAATTTTATATGTAAAAAAGTACAAGGAGCAATCAAGAACTACGTGAGACGTAGTTGAACCCTCTCTGAAGCCGAGGCAACCTTCGACGACGTAGTCCAACCTGCACAGTTGCTCGGTTGTCACTACGCGTAGGATGTTCGCCCTGGCCCGAGGAGGGGTCAACCATCTCGTTTAATGGAAGTTGTTGCGGAGTCGGTTTCACCGCCATCACTTCGGCAGCTTTCGAGACTGGGATGACCTCGTGCCAGCTTTCAGCCTGCCCAGTGGCCTTGCTGGAGGATGAGCAGGAGTCCAGGTTGATTTCTGCCGAGGCATCTGTTGCTTTCCCCGCCTCCGTCTCAACACTCTGCGGCTCCTTCGAAGGCGAAGTGCCCCTCAGATTTAATTTTATGTGGCCGAATCTGTAGGCTATCCAACCATTCACCGCAGCGAGTCTCGTCATTGATACGTGGTCAATGAGTAGTACCAAATGTACAAACTGACCACTTCTCAGCCTATGCGATATTTTCAGCTAGCGGTCGAAATGCGATTCTGAGCAGTCATGGTGTTCAGAATCTTCTCGTTACTGAGCTGGAGACTTTGGGGGAAATATCCTCGGATTACGTGAGTTGGAGGGAACTCATTTTCCTCCGCAAGGTTAACGTCCAAGCCACACTTGGTCTTGATAACCTGGCCGTTCGATTTTAACCACGTCACTGTTTGAGCGTTCGTGCAGACGACAAGAAGCCACCCAGCTCGAGAGACGCAACTTTCGAACTCGGGCCTTACGTCGGCGCTCGAATTCCCAATCGCGACGTCTATTATTGTCTCTTGAAGCAGTGCCAGTTGCTCTACTGTCAAAGAATTGTTGACTGAGTCAACCAGAACAAAACCCAAGTTTACGCTACTTACCACCCGGCTAAAGGTGGCTTTTGCGGGCCCCATGTGAGCCGGTCTGGGTTTTTTCGTGACATTGTCACTGGGTGATTGCTCCTTGGAGCGAATACGTTTCAACTTCCCAGTGGTCGTTGACGTACTTTTGACCATTTTTAAGGCTTCCTCCCTAGACTTGCCTTTGCCTAGGGCACGCCTGAAAATCCTGCGCTCTTTCGAATTGAAATAAACAAAGCTGGACTTGGGGTCCAGCTTCACTTTTTCCAGCATTGTACCTATTTCTGTAAGCCCTGACTCAGAATCCGAGAATAACTCAGACTTCATTCGGACGCACGATGCACCTGACGAAACATTGCATGCTTCTCCTTTGACGTG